TTGAGAGGGTGAAGGATTCACCCTACAAACACCCGTTTCCATCTTGAGCCCTCCCATGCTATTCCAATATGTCAGGGGTGGGCAAAACAAGTGAGTCCCCAGACTTGCTCCTTGATGCATTAGTTACTTTGTAGGGTAATGTGAGCAAAATAACTACTATTGGCCCGTCCCTGCCACAGGCTTCCCATCTGTGGATTTGGGCATTTATGGAGGTCCCACTCCATTCATCTCACACAGCTGTGCTGCCGCAGATGTGCACACAACACCCCCCCATTAAAATCAATGGGACTCTGAGGTCCCATGGTTTTTGGCATCCGTGGAGGATCTGGAACAGAACCCCTGCAGATAGCAAAGTGCCAACTGTAATATTTTGCAAATAATGCAATGATTGCAAATGACATGTATGGTGAGTGGGGCGGCTATACAATGAGTAATGCTTCCTCATTATGACTCATTTTGGGTGGAAAGCCGGAAGGGGGGATGTTGTCATTTACCATAACCACAGTAGATAGATCAGGTGGCTAAAGCTGGAGGACTTTGCTTCAAACAAGGGTGCCATGCTGCTCAGGGCAGCCCAGGACACAGTCTGTTGCCCCTGACCATGCCATTCCTCTCAGAGTAGACTAGACTAGTATGATGTCCTGGCTATTTCACCAAATGCCAGCGGCACCTCCTGGAATGACTTATGGCTCATAATTCCTTCAGCTCCAGTCTGCATGGCCAACGGTGAGGGCTAATGGGAGCTGCTATCCAAAACCAACAGGAATGCCCTGGGCTTGCATGAACTGGGCCCTATATGTGTACAGTGCAGTGTGTCATGCATCAACAAGTAGGTAGTGCAAATACATTGGGTGCATGCACTTACACCACGGGTCATATAGGAGACTTCAAATGGGGGCAACGACTGTTCAGTGCAGAGCATTGGTTCACTATATAAATGGTCTGAGGTGCAACTCCTTCAGAAAGGACTGGAAAAGTCTTCTAATCAAAGGTCACATTGTGAGAGTGTGTGAGGAAGGCACTGTGACACATTTCTACACCTTGTCATTGCAGTTAGGCCCACTCTGTGGTATGGATTCTGTCTAAAGGGCTTCCAAGTACAGATGGGGCTATTTTAGCACCAGGTTGGATATTTATTAGGGCTGTCACCCAATTAAAGAAATATTAGCCAGTGTGATGTAGTGGCTTGAGTGTTGGGCTATGACTCTAGAGACCAGGGTTCAAATCCCTGTCCAGCCACGGAAACCCACTAGGTAACCCTCCTCTGAATAAATCTTGCAAAGAAAACCCTGTGATAGGTTCCCCTTATGGTTGCCATAAGTCAGAAACGACTTGACAGAATGCTGCCGCCACCATCACAACAGCAGTTTATCACCTGGGTTTTAGTCCATTAATGAACTGCTGACATATGTGTATGCTTCCATATTACAAACCATAATTGCTTAAATTATACTTTTGGTTTTAGATGGCACAAGAGTCACTGAAGACATCCTGTTAAGAAGAGGAACCTCTTTATTTTTTCTTTCTCTCATACATCCACATACACACATGGAAGGAATGCCTCTTCATAAGATGGCACTCACCTTCTGCACTTAAGTACTTCCATTTTGAAAATAAAATATAATCAGGGTATCTTTCTACTCAATCAAAATATTTTAATCACATTATGCCAGGACAGCCAACCCGGTAAACTTCCAGATGTGGTTGGAATACAAACCCCATCAGCCCTAGCCAGCATGGCTAGCATCTGCACAACACAACAGGTTGCCTATCTCTGACTTAGTGCAACCGATGAATCAATGAATCAGTGTGGCTGTCCTGACAACAGAAAAGGAGCTCTCTTAAGAGGAAAAAGACATCTGTTTATCTTAGCACACATCTGCCTCCTTCTGTTAGTTGCTAAATGGCTTGGTTCTGCATCCTGTTATGTATTGTCTTCCTGAAGACACTTAGGAGCCTCCTCATTTTCCATCTGGTGGTCAGTGGTCAGCATACAGAATCTGAATCTCACTGGACTTTTGATCTGTCCCAGCATAGCACGTTGTGCAGCCACAAAATCCTTGTACCCTTTCAGCCCCCCAAGATGACACTGATGACTGGCTGCTAGTACCTTCAAGGGAACTTACCCAGAGAAGCAGAGAGCAACCGATGCACCATGATATCTGGGAAGCGGCGGATAGGAGACGTGAAGTGCGTGTAGAGAGGCACGTTGAGGGCGTAGTGCCGGAAGAGAGTTTCATCTTCCAGCATCCCAGTGCAGAAATACACAGCCATCTGGAAGGGAAAGGAGCAGGTCAATAGGAACCCATGTCAGGGAGAGGCTGGGAAAGGCAGAGG